TCCTTCCATGAGTTCATAGTGTTAACCGAAAACTGGAGCCATATCAAGAAATAAGAAATTTTGATTTAATAACCATCTTTAAAGATTAAACCCAAGTAACGATATAACTCTTGAAACTGATTGGTTTTGAAGCACTAGGTTTTTACCGTAATCCTTACATATTGCCAGAACGACTTTAACAAGCACCGTAGTTCAAAGGCCCTATGTCACACACACTGCCTGCCGCCCAGCATACAACGAAACACTTGGCCAGGCATGCACTCTATACAACATTGCTTTTGGAGATGAAACCTTTGTCAAATTTGATTGGCTTCAAGGGCAACTAAGTACTATCTTTCCTCCCCACCTCTCAATGAAGCAATTGTTTACTATCGTAAAAAGGATGGTAAGGTTTAATTATCATATCACACAACTACTCAGCCAACAATTAAATAACTTGCAAGATATGATGCATCAATTCACCCAGATAAGTACTGAAAAATACAACAAACCACGGACAGTCTAGATTCCCACAAACTTAATTTTCAAATACAATCACTGTTTCACCCAATTTAGAAAAAACAGAATTAAGTGAGGTAAATTATGTCAACTGGCCGAGTATACCATCATTCCATCCAGATGTACATAAAGTTCAGGTACAATTATTTTTCATCAGGAGAACAAAAACATTACCCAGTAACCGATTGCATATTTAGGAAATCTTTTTTGCAACAATGGACCTATTCTGCTGCTTCTACATGCTGTGAAGTTTCAACCCGTTTCAAACTTTCCACAGCGGAGATTCGCCTATCTAGGGACTCATGAAGACTTTTCACCTGGAGACAAAGGGAAGAGTGAAATATAAGCGCAAAAAAAACCCCCAGATAGCTGTAGATTAAAGCACCGGAAAAACAGGCATATATCAAATCAAACAAACAGGAAAAACCTATCTGTTTTTGTTGATTATTCTGTTTAATAAAAAATCTGTAAACATTGCTCCCATCAGATAACTTCATTGTCTTAGGTAGTTCATCCTTTTCCACATCACAAGTGGAAAAAATAGTAACTCTTGAATGGGATTCAATGGGGCGTCTCAAGCATCAGAATTTGATACTAATCAGGCATCTTTGATTACTCTTTTTTCATGCCATCCTAACCTTTAGGATACTTTAACATTATGGTTTCACTCTTGAAGAAACTACATCCATAGTTGGGTATATAAATGGTTTTGTAAGGCACAATAAAGAAAAACCGTAGATGAAATATATCCAATAATAGGCAGGAAAAACATAAACATAGCCAGAAGAAAAGCAACAAGGCACTGGACGTCTTATAATAGGAATGAGCAGAAGAGACCATCCCAAATTGTCGGACTGAAATAATGTGAGAAACTAAACAAGGTGTCAGCATTAATCTCACAGAGGCATAAGGAACCCCAGGTTTGGCCTTTCAGAACCTATGCAAAAAAAATTGAACCTTTTTATCCAAGATAAAATCGTTATCTTCCCTTACCAAATGATAAATCCTTTCTAGACCCAATCTTGCTATGGTTTGGCTGAATGTCAACCACGAAATGCAACCTAAAGAGAAATATGTAACAGCCAATCCCCCCAGAACAAGAACAACCGACCATATTCTTGCATTATCATATAACCGTCAAACATTCGACATAATCACCAATGTTCTAAGCAGCTACATATGAAATGCGATGCCTCCTTCATATTGCAAATGTATAGTAAACAAACAAAAAAATCAGCACACCCACATAGAGAAAAAGATCATATAAACTACCCAAAATTTAGTTTCCGAGCTTTCCTATACCTCCAAACTTCTCGCTCCACGATATGGATTTCACTAAATAAAACTTGCAAGTGAGCATAAATCTAAAAACCCACAAATTAATCCATGAATTCCATAAGAGATTGAAAGGTACCCCACGTGCTATGAAACAAATATAAATAGGAAAATGGGGGAATACCTGTTGGGTGATGGATTCATGGGCAACCTTGTAATCCTTGTAGAGCATGTAGAGACCCAGAAACGATGCCGTTGCTGCGCCGGTGAAGAATGAAGCCAATCTCACCCTCAACACATAACCCATTTTTGGTCTTCCCCTTCCTTTCTCTTCTTTCTTCCTTTTATGCTCTTTTTCCCATAAGAAACTAATTTTATGTATGAAAACTAGAATCGGCATCGCTCAAAACGACACCGGTTTTGCGCACTTACGCCACTTAGCGAAGTCGTTTCATTAACCTTTTATTTAGTACTTGTTTTTGGGCGTTTCAATTTAGTAATTGCTGTTTGCGGGCTGTGGCAACATATGTTGAGCAGAGCCAATATATATAAATAGAGGGAGTGCAAAAATACACATTGCAAGCGTAGAGCAAAACAAGCAGCCCTCTTTTATCCCCTTCTTCTTCTATCTTGCTCCCGTTTCAAGAAAAACTTAGGGTTAGGGTCCGCGTTTCTTTCATTTTTTTTTCTTCCCTTTTTGTGATTGTGAAGAGGGAAATATGCAGCAGACTCCACAGTTGATGAACATCACCACTGAGCAGATTCAGAAGGTTTATTTGATCTTTACAGCATTGCCCTTTTAACACACTGGATATTTAATGTGTTTTTGATTGATGGGTATTGCATGCATTTCTCTTTTGTGCGCATTTCTGTGATCAAATTAACTTTTCCGAATTCTAACTCGACGTTCTTGATCATTTATCATCGTTTTCATAATCATATGATTTTCTTTTCTTAGCTGCACATCTTATAATTAATGTGGACAATTTTCTTTCTAAATTTTTCTCTTTTTTCTTTAAGAGAAACAAGAATGGTGTGTTGAGAAAAACGTGTATCTGTTTCTTGGATATTGATATGATGATGGACCATGCTTGTTGCAGTATCTGGACGAGAATAAACAGTTGATTATGGCAATACTGGAGAATCAAAACCAGGGGAAGTTCGCTGAGAATGCCTCGTGAGAGACCATTTTTAAACATAATGTTCCTCTTTTGTTTACTTCCTACATTATATCAAATCGTTATTGGGCTTGGCGTTCTGATTTATGCCGTGAGCTGAATGTTTAGATCAATGGCATTCACTCACTCCTTGATGTTAAAGGGCTTGTGTTTTTACCCCCTTTCATGCTTCACAGTGTCTCTGGTGCATCTCCTTGGTAAATATGTATTTAATAGGCCTTCTGTGGTTGGTTTTCTTGGCTCACCCCTTTCATTGAGTTCTTCACATAAAAAATTTTTCTTTTATAAAGTTGGATTGTTAAATTGTCAGAAAGAAAGCATTAAACCACTCGTTTGCTGCCTCCTTAGCGCTGGTTAAGTGCTCAACTTGTAAGCTTTCTGAGTTTTCTTAGATCCATTCTAAAAATGATAGTATTGGCAAAAACTGCAAAAGAAAACATACATACCTATTGGATACTTTGGTCATCTATTATTTCAAAGATGAGATGAATGGTTGTTTATTATTGTTCTGAGTAGTATAAGGAACTGTAGAACAGGGGCCACCATAGTGGAATAACTAGGGTAGATCTGCATATTTAAGTCTTTATGAGTAAGATTGTCTGTTTACTAGTGCTGTCACTTATGACATCTACTCTGATTTAATATGAATGATTCAGGTTTCAAGCTCAGCTGCAGCAGAACCTAATGTATCTAGCTAAAATTGCTGATGCACAGCCACAAGCACCAACAACCTCTTCTCAGGTGCTGTCTCAGAGACTTCTATCTAATATCTTTGAACAAACTAAAAATGCACTAATCTGAGCTCATTTGTGAAACATTGTAGATGCCTCCACAGTCTGCGGTGCAGCAAGAGCAATCTGTTCAGTCTGCACAAGCTGTAATGGCTAAGCAGCATCCAGGTTTCTTATCTCCGAAGTTGCCTTTCCATTTGAATGACCAGCAGCAGCAACCACAGCAGCTGATGTATCTCCAACAACAGCAACTCAACCAACCACAAATGGGCTTAAGATCCGCTGGCTCCAGTGGTACTTATCAGGGCGTGCAAAGTGGGCTTAGTAACAATTTCATGAACATTCAAGGAATCAAACAGGACAGCTCAGAAGATGGTGCTGATGAAGGCATTCAAAACTCTGCCTATGGACATAACGCAACGGATACTGAAAGCATGAGGCTTAAATAATGTTAACATGGCTAATACCCGGGTGTTTATATTCTGTAGAGCTCATCCGGTACTTCCCTGCCTCAAATCATCTGATTGCATTTTGCTGTTATTTTTGGTGCTACGGAAAATGAGAAAGAAACTGTCAGGGACGTATCTCTAATACATGTGGAGAGCTAACTTTGTGTTTTTTGTCGTCTCTTTGACTTGAGTTGTATTGCGCACATGAATCTCTTGGCAACACATTGGGTATTAATAAAAAAATGTTTTAAGCTGCCTAGGTTGCACGGATAATCTTACAATTATGGCAAAGTAATCGTGAGAACAATGTCCTACTCATCACATCACGGTCGGTCTACCATTTGGACTAACGTTCTTTAAGCAACGTACAGAGCATCTGATCAGATGCTTACGATTTCTTCAACCGCTCAAAATCCCCTATCTAGCGAAGCGGAGGCAGGCAATAATCCTCAGGTCAGGAATCCAGGGAATAGTTTTTTTTTTTTTTTTTTCTAAAAATGGCACAAAGTTCCGCGTTTCAACTTCTTTCTTGGGGGTGTGGATTCCAAGAGCGATTATACTTAAGATTTCTTTATTTTCTGTTTCTTTTACTTTAGGTGTTGTAAAACAATTGAGCACTTCCCTCACCGTTGGTGGCTTTTTAAGTAGCCCTTGGCCCCATGGAATTTTTCAATTTTGAAAAATGACAACCCAAGTTGCATGCGGCTTGACTGACTGCACTCCATTGAAATTTCCGCTTAAATATTCCAAAAGGCAACCCGAGCAGCTGGATGAGCATTTGACCCGATTCACCATTGCTTTAATTTCTTAAGAATTCACAAAGTGAAATCACTATGAAGTACCAGAATGCATAGTTGCGTATGGATGCCTCGAATCCTGATGCAGGAAATAAAATGTGAAGCTTGAGTATGACATGAACACACATTAAATAAAATAGTGTTTTCTTCTAACAGACAGGGCCAAAAGGCACAAAACAATTTAAATTGTCAGCTTATGATCCAATCAGAGAATTTTCTCAGATGCAAAAGATTGCCGATGACCGAGATCAGGAGATACATTTAACTACAAATCATATCCCAAGATGCTTGCAATCTGCAATAATGCATGTTCCACAACTGAACATTGCAATTCAGTATATCCTGCCAGAACAAAATGCAATTGGTAAATCTCTAAACTAATTTAGTTAAATGATGATTATAAAAACAATGAAATTCAAATATGCTTATACCAACAAACTAAAATATCAGTTTATGAAGGTTGAGTTAATTGTCATAAATCTAATTATCCTGCCCTTAATATTGACATGCCAATAAAACTCCATAACTGCTTAGCGCAAAAACAGATGCTGTGACAGTGTATGATATATCGCAGACTTTCACTCAATCCCAACAGGAAAGGAGAAACAAATTATCTAATGCAATTGCAATAGTGTAGATTCTTAGTACTTTAGTGTACTAAATGATTCAAATTTAGGTCATTGCAAATTAAAATTGGTCAAGGAGCTGAAATAGAATATAGGACGCATAGATAACGAACTTATAACACAATAAATTAAACAACTCACAATTGAGGTAAATGCACCCACTATCTTCTAGAAGATAATGCAGCCCCAGTTACCCTGCCATTGTACAAGACAATTAAGCTCATTTAGCTCAAGGCACTAAAACATACACTTTTAAATGACCTTTGGCAATCTGCAGAATTTTAAGCCACATACCTGCCCTGCTGTTTTCCAACAAAATTTGAATTAGACCTTCCATGACTAGAGCCCTTGCTTTCAACACTTGTCACACTTGATCTCTCAAAATTTGCTCCATTAATTTCAGTAGGAGCTTTAGATTTGCTCAATATCTTCACATTTGAGAGACCTCCAGCCACACCGAAACAAATGCCATTGGCATGTTGATTCTGCATTACTAAAAGCTGTGAACGATTATCAGCTGCATTTTTAGAGATGGCTGCATACTCCTTGAAAACAGCATTCTCATTCTTCACATGGTTGGAATCAATTGATGGGAGCACCTTCTTTAGTCGATTAGGCTGTGCCATTGGAGTAACAGCAACAGAAGGCAAAAATGAGGAGAAAGGAGACGTTGCTGCGGCAGCTGCAGCAACTTTGGCAACAGCAGCAGTGGCTGCTATCATCTCTTGTGCTCCCTCCCGAAGCTGAATATAATCACCCTCAATCACAAATAACTGAAATCACAAAAAAAATCACGATTTGAAATCTTCAGAAAGTATAATCCGCATGCATATAAAAATGTAAAAAGTTGCAAGAGACAAACCTCAGGGTGACTGGCTACAAAGTCATCCAGCTTTCCATACTTTTTCTTGTAATCATGCCAATGTAAAGGTGCAAGCATTTTCCCCAGCCTATTTGGTAGCTGCAATTGACAGATACAAGTCACACCCCGTTTTTACAGGGCTTAAATGTCATATTTGCTAAGTTGACCAAGGTAGGAAAAATTATTTGCAGACCCACTAACCGTTGAACTGATCCGAATTCTGCCACCAGTAGGAACAGTGCGAACTATGCAAGCCAATAATGATCTTTCATCAAGCAGAGCAGTCTCTGAAGTCTTGGCTGATATCAAGATAGTCTGCCCAGTTGAGACGGACTTGTCCGGCAAAGTAGCATCAGTGCCATTGTTGCTTGTTGTTTCACTAAAATTAACAGAGTGCACTGAAGTATCAGGAGGAGATGGGCTAGCAGCAGTACTTGCTGCTTCTGCTGTTAGAAGTTGGTCCTCCAGCACGTGATTATTCATATTCAGAATATTCTGTTCCTGTCCAGTTCAAATTCAAGTAGAATTTAGCTCTAAGAGATTTCCAACTGCTTGAAGCCTAGCCAAACAGACAAACCTTGGATTCACAGCTCTGTTCAAGAGTGCCCAATCTCAATGCATCATGAAATTGAGAAGAAACTTGCTGCAAGCTTGGCTCGGGTTGTGGGTCCACAATGTAACTTGTGTTAATTGACTCAAGGACCTGCAAAGAAATGGTCTTAATACAAGAACACAAGACCACAATACTAGGCACTGCAAATAGAAACATCTTGATTTAAAGAACCTGTGCTTTCCCAGCAGATGATGACATCACAGAATTAGCCTCTGGCCCTTGGCTGATATGATCCAGATAGTCTGGATGAATGTTTTGTCCATTGACAGACATTTCATATTCATACTTTACATCTGACCTCCCAAGGCTTTGATCAGTTTGGGATGGTGGAAGTTGATTATGTGCAGACAGCTGGAAACCCTCTGATGCAGTCTGAAAAGCATGATGAAAAACCATTATATTTCCAAAAACATATAACAAAGAAAACATGAGGAAAATATGATAATGCATTGGTCTGACAATACCTGTTGGTTCTGCCACTGTTGGATGGATGACATTGCTGGCATTGAGTAGTGTCCAACATGAGATGCCACAGAAGGGGGAACCCCTTGTTGATGCATGACAAACGAATGCAAAGCAGTCACCTGCCCAGGTGGGAGGTAGGTAGGCATCCCAAGTAGAGATGATGGAGCAATTGGAACGCTCGAAACATGCTCATTCTGGTTCTGATATTTAACACAATCATTTAAGGGAACAAAGAGAGGAATTAATAAACAGAGTACACAAAACAGAAAGATCACAAATTGATTATTATTAAAAGCTGGCGCTAAGCTTTACAACTATAAACTTGTAAAACTGAGTTTATAAGCACCAGCTCAAACCAAATATAAGATGAACATGTAGACAGAGGAAGGGAGGGGAGGGTCCTAGACATCCATTACTTTAATAAAACTAAATATACAGTTGTATCATATTTTGTCACTGAAATACATAACCATATGAAGAAAGGTGCACACCTATCACTATATAGATGGTTATAACTATTAAATTTCTGATTACGATACACTCTTAGCAATGACAACAAAGAAAAGCCAGCAATTTTACCTGAGTTGGTGCATTGCCAGCTGAAGCAAATGATTGAACATTGTCTACAGTCCCATTTGAAATGACCCCAGCATTAGCATTTGTTGCGCCACTTCCATTAGAATCCACTTGGTTTCCATTATTTTGACCAAATTGAGATAAATCTTTTGAATTTCCTTGGGATATATGTGATTCATCAGTATAAGAACCATTCCTTTCTCTTGCATCAGCCAGCTCAAGTTGAAGCTGATGTACTGTATGTAAATGAAGTCTCTCCATCTCTGCAAACTAACATTAACAACCGGGAAGAAGGTCAATTTAAAAGTGCTAAAATGAGAACAAATCTATTTATTTAAAGGAAAGAAAGAAAAGTGTAAACAAGAAACTAAAAGCTAACCAACCTGTCTCTGACAGCCATGCCAGAGCTGGTTATATTGCTCTGTACGTTCTCGCAATTCAGCCTGTAGCGAGTGATTAGTGCTTGACTGCAACGCATCCATCTCCTGGACACGTGAAATCCAAGTTTGGGCCTCTCTCAACTGTTCATCCTTATAAAGAATGGTCTCCTGAGCAGCCCTATACTGAAGAATAAGACTACTATTAGGAAATACAGCTTGATCTAGCAATCAACATTACAGTTAATTGAAGTTGGAAAAACTGTTGCATGACTACCATTTCCAACACAAACAAATTTGTTCTTGTAAATTAAGTTAATCTGAAAATAAGTAACCGTAATTTTCAATAACCTACAGACACACACCAAAGACAATGCAATAGAACATTAACACCTTAACCTCCTGCAATTAAAACTGAAAAAACTAGTGCACTAAATCATGCGAATGTATGGACCTGCTCCTGCAACTCTATAAGCTGCCTCTCTTTCTCTTGAACATGCTCTTGAAGATCATGAATCTGTTTTATATGTTGGGCTCTCTCAGCTTCTGAATGATCACGTTCTCTTCTGCCAAAGAAAAAAAGGACAGGAAACACAACTAAATTTCAAAAGGTTTATATTCAGAGATAAAAAACTAAGCTAACATATTACCTCAACCCTTGAATAGGTTTAAAAACTTTCACTCATGTTGGTCTCACAGAAATTGGAAGTATAAATAAAACATTCATATCAATGGTATGCTTTGAGGCTTAGGTCTACTGCAAATAAAAAGGTAGAGCAAGGAAAACACAAACACACACCTGAAAGTTGCCAGCTCCTTATTTTGCTCTCTGAGAAGGTCCTCCTTTGCCCAGGCCTGCCAAAATAATACATGCATTAATTTATACATGACTTACTAAACAACACATCAATCAAAAGAAAAGGAAAAAAGTTTGACCA